TACATGTATGTATGTATTCATGTAATGTATGTATGTATGTATGTATGTATGTATGTACGTATGTATGTATGTTTGTATGTATGTATGTATATATATATGTTTGTATGTGTGTGTGTGCGTGCGTTTGTATGTGTGTGTGTGCGCGCGTTTGTGTATGTGCACGTGTGTACAGATATTGGAAAATACATAGTATACTTATATAAACAAATATATATTTCCACTCGTACAAATTGATTTGAATATTGTCGCATGTACGTCTTATATGTAATTACATATAGCCGTACTAGTGAAATAATTTATTAAAAGATGATATGTAAATATACACGACATTATCATATCCATCATTTACAATGAGATTACGAACGTCTTCATACAAATATCGCTGGATGTTTAGTGTTATAGTAAAAACCATATACTACATACCTTACCAGAAGGAACTGTTTGCGTGCCCAAGAACCTAAAACGCTAGTCAAATATGAACACTTACAGATCTTGTGTTGTTGCGCATACCCTTCTCACACAATATCTCTGAAGTAGATATGCTGATTTCAATATGTAGTCCAGTCGTGCACAAGGTTCGCACTTGTAGCTCGCTATATAGAATAGGACTATAACTATTCATGTGTTGTACGCATAGTTGTTGCGCATACCCTTCTCGCGCAAATATATATATATCTCCAAAGTAGACATGCTGATATCAATAGTCCAGGCGAGAATTTTCCAAGACTATGAAAAAATTCTCTATTTTCTTTTTTCAAAAATAATAGATATGTACAGACTAGTAGACTACAGACATAACTACGGTAACCGACTATAGAGGCTATGATTTACGTTGCCATCTGGATTTGGGTCTCTGCTAAAAAATAAATTTACGATTGTCGTCGGAAGAAACCTGATTTCTTCTCGCGACGGTGGACCTTGACCGCCTGACGCCGACGGGCCTGATCACCTGATGGCCTGATCCAGCGGGCCATGTGATTATATTTTATTTATGTAAATATGTCACACAAGTTTAAACTTTAATAAACACCAAAACATTTGATTTTTTTTTAAAAAGATAAATACGTACCGTTCAAATTTCATTTTTCAGAAGGCTATGTCATAGCCTTCTGAAAATTACACAAAGGCTATGGCTATGTCCGAAATAATGAATATCAACAATACTCCGCGGTCAACTCCGCACCAGTGAAAAAAATCTGGAAAATATTTAATATTTTTCAAAATTTTGTTTTGTTTTGTTTTTTGTTTAACACCCCATCCATAGACTGAGGGGACTCGATTTTAAAGAACCAACCCTAATTCACTACATCCGATTTTGGATATAGTCACAATTTTATTTTTTAGACTTTTTCTAAAAACATTTCAAAAGAATTTTGTGAAGGAGTCAAGTTGATAGGTCTACTGGTTCATACAGTTATGTATCGATTTATGAACAGGATTGTGCACTTTTCGACCATGTCAAATCTTCGATTTCCAGGTCGCGTATTAGCAGTTTGAACCTTCTAAGGGTTCTAATATATAATAAATACAAGTGTTATTAGTTCTGAAATCATCCTTGTGGTATAGAAGGCTTATTATGCTTGCTCAAAATCACCATTTACGTGCTTGCGTGTCCATCATTGACATCCATTTGGTGTGCATATTCAATTATATGTTTTCAATATGATTTTCAGACCTTTGTTATATCTATATAAGCATAATTAAACCATAATAATGTTATTTTAATCGTTTGTAGGTGAATAAGTAGTGAATTCTGGCAAAAAGTTCAGGAAATGAGATTCATCGTGCAATCGATGGCATCAAAGATGTAAACACACTTTTTCTCGATTTTAGCAGCTGTAGCTTGCATTACGGTTATAAGAATGCATATACGATATTGTTTTGACACTAATTGTACGCGACAACTTTGAAACTTTACTAATTATGCATATTTAGACCCAATAATCGCGTTTTGGAGGTTTCCGATGTAGTGTTAGACTCCTAAGCATAGGTGTTCTACTTGTACTACGGCCTTGGCGCCTTCACAGATCATTTACGAAATACTTTATCTTGAAATATGCCACACACAAAAAAATATTGGGAATAAATTGAATTCCAGATTTAGTAAATCAGGAACGCTTTTTTATTTTTGGCCCTATTATATCCCCTTAGTACACGGATGGGGTGTTAAAAACAAAACAATGTATAGGGTTTTCTGTTCAATTTTCAGAAGGCTATGTGTTTTCAGTTTTCACAAGGCTATGGTGTGGTCACTGGTCGCTCACTCACTTCACTGTGTTGTCTCTGTCTCCAACTCTCCATCGTTGGTCTGATTTGTCCATTTTGTTGTTTTTTTTAAACAAACAACAATTATAAATAAATGCCATAGGTAATATTTGACATTCCTGGAGTCTGGACTCTGGAGGGTTGCTACATATCTGCTCGTCTACGTGATTCCGTCCTCCGTCCTCCTACATACGAGTCCCACGGTCCTACCGCATGTGATATTTTCAAATACATATGTACATAATACGAGTGACGACTGACGACTGACGACAACTGTCGAATGACGATGACAAAATATCAATCACGTTGGCGCCAAAATATTCATTATCAGTTGATCTAAATATAAAGTTAAACGCTAATATAACTTAAACCCTAAAACGATAATTTATTATTTATATACTCTATTTTAAAAAAGAACAAAATACACTTGACCTCTTTTGCGATTTGTCTCGATCTTCGGGATCATTCCAGTAATCCAGTTGCTACTTGCTAGACTGCTAGTTGCTAGTGATGTGATATAAATTACGGCAAGGGTTTTACTTTTTAGGGACAGTTTTGTTTTTGTTCTATGTATTTTTTTATGTAAAAACAAATGACGGTTCTGAGTTCCAGTCTTCCAGACTTCTAAAGTTCTAGACCAGCACTACCCGTCCACCAGTAGTTCACGACTGCACGAGTTTGAACTTTGACGGTTGACCGTTTGAACTTTGATATAAAATTTCTTTCATATTTCCTATGTAAGTTTTGGTACGTTGTGGACTTGAGGTATTTCGATTTTTTTAATTTTTCTCCCTCACAGGGCACAGGCGCTCACAGCGACGCAGCGACACAGCCTCACACCTCTACTATGTACACTACTAGCTAGTAAATAGCTAGAGAGAGTAGCTCTATCTCTGAGTACTGACTTCACTACTGAGTAGGAGCATATTTTATTGAACATCCGCTAAGCAAAATTGGGCTCTCGGAGACTCGGACTCCCGTTCAAATTTGAAATTTTCAACTACATACCAGGTCCCGGGCCCCCGGAGGATGACGGGGATGTCAACGACGGCGGATGGATTTTTCTGCACATGATATTCCCATTAAAAGCTCCGCTTATTTTTTTAGGCGCAAGAATAGTGGTGCAGCTTTTGTTGACGCTTGAAATTTGAATGTATTTACAAACAATAAAGGCATGACATTGCTACATCGAGGATCGGTTCAGGTTGTGATCAACGACATGTTCATCGTTTAGATAAATATAATGATATCGTATAATAAATTGCTAGCGAGTCAAACACTTTTAACGTATCCACGTACCCACAAGGTTTTCACTTTTCAGGTTTCTTGCATTCACTATATATACTCGAGTAGTGTAAGTAACTTTTATCACTACAAAATCGAAATCGTTCTAGAATAAATAAATAATAAAGTACCGCAAGTATGATAGAAAAAATATACAAAGCACCCGCCTATCATCATGTAGATCAGAGCGAATCGGACTGCATGAAAGGCAAGCCGTATGATACCGCTAATGAAATTTGCGAACCAATCGTTCCAGATGCTCCAGATATGTCGGTAGAAACTGCAATTAATATGGCAAATACACTACGAACCACGCTCTCATCATCTTCGATCGCACCTGTAGTACTTATACCAGGATTTCTCATGTCGGGCGAGTTTTTCTGGTTCGATGCGCTCAGTCACCATAGCAAAATAATAGCGGCCCAGGTCGGCGGCGCTAGTTCTCTGCACGATCGCGCCTGTGAGTTGTTCTATCAGTTAGTTGGAGGGCGTGTGGACTACGGTGAAGAGCATTCGAAGACTTGTGGACATAGCAGATACGGTGCGACATTCGAGAAGGGCTTGCATCCGCAATTCTCAGCCGAAAATCCCATCCATTTGATAGGATACAGCTTCGGTGGACCTACGGCACGAGTGTTTCAGCAATATCTGCACGAGAAACGTTTCACAGGTTATAGCAATACCGATGCGAGTTGGGTAAGAAGTTTAACAACAGTATGTGCCCCTCACAACGGCACTACTGCGGCACATTCCGTTGGTGGACTACGGATTGGAGAGCAAGGCGTGACAAAGCCATTCAGAACGGGTTGGCTGGCGACAAAGCTTGTGCATGCCTATGACTGGCTAGATATCTCGTTTCTCAAAGATCGTGTGTTTCATCCCCGGCTTGAGCACTGGGGATATCAACGTCGAAATGCGACTTCGCTTTGGGATTCTTTGAGTAAATTGGCTACAACCATGTATAAGAGTCCTTTGGTAGCTCCGCATGGTGACAATGCGGGTGATGATTTATCGCCGGCTAAGATGATGAAGATCAACAAGACCATGGAGGACACTTTCCCTTGCACGTATTACTTGAGTTTTACGGCACAGAGTACCACTGGCTCCAGGTGGTGGTCTCGTCACCTGCCTTCATGTTTCTCCTTTATGTGGTTATCGTCCGCGGTTATGGCAACACGAAAATACACCACAGAACAGCTGCAGATGATGTACGCACACGCTGATTTCGGTAGCAATGAAAAGCTTGGTATCTTACGAGAAGGACTTTATGCTAACGACGGATTAGTGAACGTTGCTAGCCAGGGGCATCCCGGCTTGTGTTTCAATCACCCGAGTAGATCGCGCCTCCAAAGCGAAATTCTCAATGAATTGGTATTAGATAGGAATCCATGCCCGGTCACAGGAAAAATCAAGAGTACAGAGAGTAAGTGTGTTCACAGGCATTCGTTAGCAGAGCATATAGCTGAAGAAGGAACACTATCTAAGGGAAAGTGGTACGTAAGCGATCTTTTGAATTATGATCATGTCACCCTACTGACGATGCCAACGTGCAGAAAGAGGACCAGTGCGTTCTTTATGGAACTGTACGAATGTCTGCGGATGCTGCCAGAATCACTGCAGCTCGTAGAAGATAGCGAGGCAGCATAGTGTGTTTGTGAATAAAGTTTATTGGGGCTGTCAGTGTCAGTCCCTGTTTAATTTGAATGCTTCATTGTTAAAATACAGAGCTATGAAAGCTTACGTTTTTACAGCCTTCGATCTGTATGATATCAGCGGCTACGATATATATACTATATATCTATAGGCTTACATAGTGCAGACTTGTCGAAATCGGGAAAGCTCTTCGCACAGAATCACGTGTATATGAAGTAATCCAACTCTCGCTACTCGTGAAGGGCGCGGGATGGTGAATTCATAGGTCTATAATATTCCAGTGTTTCTTAGCAGATAGACATTTTCGGAGTGGGCCTGCTACCATGCAAACCAGGGTGGATGGTTCAGGCGTGTATAGTTCTGGTACTGTAACCTAAAAACCGGATTCAAAATAGAACCCAGATGTCACGATAAGATATCATATATAGATATTGCATTCAGCCTGAAATTTAATTAAACCCAGGTGGTGCCTTGTGTTTTATCGTCACTTCCCTCGTACAACCAGCTTGTTAAAGCACCACGTAGTGCATCTCGCGTAGCACTTCTCAAAAGCATCGCACATAAGAGTTTGACCTCACCTTTCTTTTATACTGCTAATAAAATCCCATCGTCTATTATGAATGCTCAGGTACGACACTACTTGAATTTGCGCTTTATTTTTCTTTCTTTTTTTGTGATGTAGCTTGTAGCGGTCATCTCAGCCAACGGGAGTTCTATATCGGCGTGGTGGTGCCAGTACCGGTATCTCTCCCAGTGTGAAAGCGGATGCGTCGAAGGCCTCTGCGTCCTCCTCGGTGATTTCTGTATGCAGGTAGACAGGTAAAATGTGTTTTTTTTAAGTTGTGATCGAATGGGCATGATAAAGTTCTGAGTCAGTTATAGCATACCATAAAGGTACGCATCCCGATGGAAGTCCTGTGTCTGAATGTGAACCTAAAGAAAAATTAGTACAATGCTGGTATTGGAACATATCTATATACAGTGAAATTGGCGATTGCAAATGAGTTTATGGAGGCTAGGTTAATTTGCAATCGATATAAAATGCAAGAACGGTGGAGATTAGCATACAGCACACCACGCACGCTAAAATGGGTTCGCTGTATAGATTGTGATATAGCTAAACATCTGCGGTGACATGGGAAAGGGGCACAGAAGACCGCAACTGTGAATAGTTCACAATCACTTAGAGAAATGTGTTCGTCAAGAAGAGGACCGCGCATAATAGAATCACATATATATTATATATCAATACCTAAATCAGGCTCATGGTCCGTAACATCTTCTCGTCCAAAATTCGTCTGGCCAAACCCTCCACCACCCCCACCCCCACCCCCACTGCGGCCAAAGCCACCGCCACTATTCCGACCGAACCCTCCGCCCGTTGAAGGTGTGCCAAAGCCACCTGTCGTACTACTGGTCTGACCAAATGCCGTCGTTTGGGCAGCACCCGTAGCACCAAACGCACTGCTTTGGCCAAAGGCACTGCCACCGCCACTGTGAGCGAGTGGATAAAATGATGGTGATGGTGACACGGTTAGTGAAGAATGTAGATTTGTGAGTAAATATAGGTATGTGGGTCGTTCACTATACAGACCGGGACAATCCGATGCCACTTGTCTTGTACTTGATATATAGTGTGCGAATGGGGATATGAAACCAGCAAGTGGAAAGAAATGAATCGGTGGTGATTATCAATGTAAGGTATATATACATAGTGTAAGTGTGACAGTGTCAAACGAAAGCATCGTTGGCCTTTATGGGCTGGTCCATTAGCCGTACAGGTATGCCGGTATGCAGGTGTTCGTATTGGATAATACATGTACCTTGACTTCCCAAAGCCACCTCCTTTCGGCTGTCCAAACGCTGACGTCGTGGGTGCGTTCGTGTCCGCCCCACCAAACGCAGAATTTGGAGCTTGCGCGCCAAAAGCAGACGAATTACCGAATGCGGACGATGAACTATTGTTAGAGTTGCTAAAAGCGGTACATGTACTCGGCTTGCCAAAAGCAGAGGTTGTAGTACTACTCCCGAAGGCACTTGCATTATCTTTGGCATTTCCAAGTGCGGAAGTGTTGTCGAATGCAGTAACATTATTACCACCACCGCCAAAGGCAAAGTTGCCGCCGGATGTTCCAAATGCGGAAAGTGCACTCGCATTGGTACTGGCATTGTTTTCGAAAGCGGACTGTCCGAAAGCGCTACTCCCCTTAGAGGCCTGGATTTAAACGAGGTGCATTCAGGCAAATGACTGAGACACGTACGCGCATGTACCATGGGAAATTGTTAAGGGTACGGATACGTATACTTTTTAGGCAAAAGTATATATCACTTTGTGGAAGGGTGCAGACAAGGCGCAAAACATACACACATCCATATATGTTTAGGGGATCAGAAGGCAGATTTGTGTGTGCACACCACTGTGAGACATGATATTGTAGACGCTTCCTTTCAATCGTAACAAATCACTCATCAAACACTGCATTGCAAAACCCGAGCCCTGATTATTAATATAGATATGGAGGCAGATATCAGTACAGATATAGATATAGATACAGACATAGCTATATATATAGATGTATGAATATAAAGGTACATATCAGATATAACTATTTCATATATGTAGAAAGGATGTTGCGTGAATTGTGAAAACCCCCTTTTTGCGATAACCCAAATCGTTAAGCTGAATGAAACTGTCTATGAAATGATAAAAGGACCAGCGAGATGAGCTGATCTGTAAAACAATCAATGTTAGGGCAAGCGAGTTTTGCAGGTCAATACTATAGCGATCAATAATTCAGCGAAAAAATCAAGACAATGATTGTGAATCCATTGAAATATCAGTATGGGCACAGTAGCCATCTACATTTTCCCACAAAGACCCTCTAATACACCCCAGTAGAGGCTGACCCAACAGCACATGCAAAGGCACGCATAATCACAGTCACACTGCACAACTCTCGTATGCCTTATCCAACACACATGCATGTCCACACAACACTATTCGCAAAAGTGTCGACAGAGCACTATTTCCGCGTCACTTTCGGATGCGATTGTGTTAGCTCGTATATGGCTCTACACTCGATACGTGAATGTATGCAGACTACTGTGGCATCGTCATAGACATGTACTTTCACGGTATATACACACACATACCAAACGCGTGTGCGTTCACTACACACGTATACGTTAAAAATGCGTGCTCTCTCATTACACCATAAATGTACACCGAAATCATGCACCTTTATTAGACATACACGCGACACACACGCGAGCATTGCACTACAGGCGTCTTAGTGCTTTCATTACACGTACGTTTGTGACCCCAAAAGCACTACTTGTGGATGTCTGTCCGAGCGCTGATGTTGCGGATGGGGTCCCAAAAGCGTTCGTCGTCCCGGTATTGGTACCGATATTGCCAAAAGCTGTTACTGTACTCCCACCTGATCATGAAGGGTTTGGTTTAGGGTTTTATGATTTATATATAAAATATATA